CCAAAATGGACCACTCTAATATATATATATACACACACACACACACACACACACACACACAGTCAAACCTCGGTTTTTGAACGTCTCTTTTTTCGACCAAAAATTTCGAGTTTTATGCCTCGGATTACGACCGAAAATAGGTTCTCGACCAAACTGTGCGCACTTGAATGCGCCACTTGACTCCTCTCGCCTTCCTTACACGAGGAAGTGACGCTTCCTCGGGTAGACAAGGAAGTGACGCATCTTCGTGTAGCGTTCCATTGTGAGCTGACGTGTTGAAAAGATTTTTTTTTAAAAAGAGCGTGGTTACGGTGTGTGTGTGTGTGTGTGTGTGTGTGTGCGTGTGTGTGTGTGTGTGTGTGTGTGTAAAATATGTCTGTATATGTATATATGTGTGTGTATATGTATATGTATATATGTACACACACACACACACACACACACACACAGATAGATAGATATAAGGTTGAAGTGGTGAGTTGATGCTAACCCCGCCCACTCCTTGCTTCCTAGCTGTGAACTCCCGTTCAGCACGTGTGCTCTTCCTCCTGGTCGCCCCTGGTCACCTTGTCTTCCTCTACACCATCAACTCACTGAGGGGGGGACATACCACACTAACCCCCGTCTTCATCACCTTCTACCTGGGTGCTGCGCTGCTGCAGGTGAACATGTAAAACAAGCGTGTGTTTCCCAGGAAATCAAGAGGCATTGATTAATTCAGGGAGGATTCCATCGGACATGCTCAAGTCACTAAAAACCGCTTGGGGAGCGCTATTCAGTGCTGTGGATTTTCTTTTAATTGTTTCATCAAGACAGACCCATGCTGCCTTATTCTATTCTGTACAAGAATTATTTTGAGGGAAACCACGACCGTCGCATAAGTCGCCCACAAAAATACACTCATTGTGTATTTGTAGCCAACTTAGTCATTTTGATAGTAGGCTAATATTGATGCATACAGCATGTGTTGCCTTCATTACAAGGCTTATAGAAGGCTTTTGTTTTTTTGCGGCTCCAGAAATACTGTATTTGTTTTTTTGTCCAGTATGGCTCCTTCAACATTTTGGGTTGCCGACCCCTGAATAAAACATTCATGATTAATGTCACTGCATTGGGTTCAAATCCTGATGTCAAAATTCCAATTTTTACTCATGCAAGAAGTTTCTACTGATTACAGCTTTGTTTCTTTTGAGAATGTCTTCCAATCTGAAAGTCAAATTGGTATTCCGTGAACTAATACCTTAACTGACTTGAAGATCAATCAAAGTGAATCGTGTATCACAAATCGAATTGAATGTTTGTAAATCGCAAATCGAATTGGGCCCTTGTGAATCGAATGAATTGTGGAAATCCAAATCGATACCCAACCCGAATGTAAAAGTATTCTTTCCTAACTTTGTCATTTAACCCTGACAAGCAGACGATGTGCAATGCGCTTAAATTGGACAGTCAAACTGTTTCATGTCTTTTTGAACTCGCCGTTTGTTATAAATATGCACACACTGATGCAATGATGACTCCCAGACTCACCTCTCGCTGATGTTTTGTCCAGCAGCTCTCGCCTGCTCTCTCTTGGCCGGGTCACTCATTCGCGTTCACGAAGTTCATTTGAAAGAAGTTCAAGTGGGAGCTTGAACCCAAATCAGCGATTCAGATTGCAATTTGAAACTCGCATGACCATTTTGTATAATTTTACATCACACATCCCAAAAGCGAACCATTCGACTGTCAGCATTGTATGTATCACCACACAACATGTCACAGTCCAGTACAACTGTGGATAAAGAGTGGGCTATTGGTCCACTTTCATAACTTTTTGAGACTAAAAAACAGAAAACATGCATAGGGTGTGGAAAGCATAGTACGTACAGGGAACGAGGCTTTTGTTACCTTTTGCCTATTGACTGTTGCTTGTTGTCTTGCAGGTGATGATCCTGCTCTACCTAGCGGACTGGATGGTCCACTGGATGTGGGGCCGAGGGATGGACCCCGACAACTTCTCTATTCCCTACCTGACTGCTCTCGGTGACCTGCTAGGAACCGGCTTCCTCGCCCTCTGCTTCCACATGCGCTTTTTCATTGGTGACAGAGACTCCAATTTGGGAAACTGAGTCAGTTCCCTTGCACACGTGGACATCGATGATGGGGAAACTGGATGTTTTCCGACGAAAGGGCTAATCCCTCGGAGGGTTCTGATTGAAGATGCGGTGCTCCAGTTCAATGACGACCGGGCGCACTCGGAGGCTGTTTCAATGTGGACACATTGGAAACTGTTTTTGTCTTACTCAGCCCAACAAACTTTTTTTTTTCTTTTTGCCTCATAACGGAGTCCCCTGACTCTGTTATTGTTGTACGATTGTAAATGATTCTTAGGGGTAAATAATCCGTTTGATGTAAGTTGATATCGATTCTGTTTTGAAAGGCTATTTATTCCTCATTATTTTCAATGGGGAAACTAGCCCGCAAATCCATTTTTACGTGATCACCTTGCAACAAATCCAAGAAAAATAAGCAAAAAAATTAAAAAATAAAATAAACCCTAACAAGCCATTATGACTTAATCACAAAGTGCTTTGTCTTGAAATTCTTTGAAATCATTGAAATGCTTTAGTGCTTTAGAAGAGTACATGTGGCTACTGTTGCTCCAAGTCTGTTTTTTCCTTCCTCTTAGGACAGCAGATCGATGCTGTTTTACCACGAAATGGAACCAGAAATGTGGCAATTTAAACCCTTTGCACAACCCATAAAATTGTGGTTTGATTCTGGTCAGTCCATGAGTTTTGATCCTATTCGCCGGCTGTTTTCAAAACAACTTCACCCTCTATCCTCCTAGACTTCAGGTTTCAAAACGTCCCGTTTTTGACCAAATGTTCCAAACACAATTATGAAACTGAAGCCTAAGCCTGATTATTCTTTGGCATGAAGACAATGACACGCGTATCATACAGAGAAACGGGCAGCCGGTGGGGTCCTGTACCAACTTGGGAAACAATCTGGCCTTTCTGTGCTGAAGCAGGCCAGTTGCTGTGTCGTGCAAGTCACACCTTTGCCCCAAAACAAGAGGCTTAAGAAACCTGCGGAGCGCAGCTCACTAAACCTTCATGCGCTCGCAACATTATTGTGGCTGAGGATGTGCTTGCAAGAGCCGACCTGCATGATGGCAAGTTTAGTTTGTTGGGTTTTTTTTTCTTTGTATTGTAGGTCCCCGCATCATTTTTAAGGCCTGCCTTGTGTGTAGCCATCATTACTTGCGGCCTGGTCCATTCGCTAAAACAGCACCAAAGATTCACCATCAGTCCTCATAGAACCAATTTGAGAGTCGCTGCTTCCAGGCAGTTCAGAGAATGACAAAAAGCATTTGCGTTGAATTTTTCATGGAGGTTTGACATCATCCTTTTGTGTGTGTGTGTGTGTGTGTGTGTGTGTGTGTGTGTGTGTGTGTGTGTGTTCTTTCCAGATGTTGCGAAACAGGAAGTTTTTCAAGACGAGCAAAGCATTTAATTGAAGTCAATTATCTTTAAAACTGTTGACAATATATCCGTCTGGTTACACTGAATGATGGCAAGAAAGCTCGGAAAAAGAACCTCTTTTATAAAATGCTTTTGCTACTCAAGAAGTGGCTTAGTGAGGGATCACACACATTTCATGACTCTGGCAAAACCCTGACCCAAAATTTGGAGTCAGAAAAATAGAATCGAACCACAATCTCCTTTCCAATCATTGCCCCCGATTTTCATTTCCCTCTCTTTGTTTTGGTAAAACTGAGTAGGAAGGATGAAATGCAATTTATCATGAGAAACCAAAGTGGTATTTTGACCAATTGAAAATAGCAACAAAAAATTCCAGATACGAGGTGTCCAAGCTAAAACTTGCATGAGATTCTTGAATTCTTTGCCACTTCTCAGACTTCTGCGTTACCTCAAAGGGGCCAGAAGTGTTCATGTGCGGTGCACATCCTATGAATGTGAAAAAAAAATTGTCTCTCAATCTTTTGTTTGGATTCTTGAATGGTTTTCGGGAGAAAGTGTGATGTTAAAGTTGAGTTTTGTTTTGGTTGTTTGTTTTTTTTTCACCTCTTCGTTTGAACTCTTGGGCTGGGCCACAACGCCAAGTATTGCAATTTGCTAAATCGACACTAGAGGGCGCCAGAGTGATTCGTTGATGCTTTGAGTTTTTTTTGTTTTTTTTTTGTCCCGGTTCAAATTCACCACGGGGACAGGGGACATGTGATTTTTTTTTTTTTTTGTGTGTGTGTGTGTGTGGCGGAGGGGTGGTTACTGCATTTTGTGTGAGGTGTCATATTCATACATCTGTTCAGTCCTTTCTCTTTTTTTCCTCAACCTTCTTACTGAACAGGTGCCAGCCTTCTACTCTATGGTAATGGCGAGTTGTGTATACTTCTATAAGAGGGCAGATAACAGTTTTGTCTATTTATTATTAGAAGCACACGAAGCAATTTGTACATACTATATTTATTCTATATATAAGATTGTTTATTGTGCCCTGTCATTATGGCTCTGTTTCTTTGTCGCCCCGGTGTAATTGTTTTTCCTTCTTTTTTGGGCAAATTTGTGTTTTATTTGCAAATGGACAGTAGTTTTGTTTTCCTGCTTGCCACAATCGTGGTGAAATGTTGCATGGTGCCTAATGATGACATAGAATGGCCTTAACCTCTCTGAGAGCCAAGCTCAACTTTCTGTAACCAATCAACAGCCGAGTGCCTTAAAATAGCCCCGATTAATCAATGATTTACAATACCTTGATTATGATATGCAATGTAATGTAATACTGTAACTTAGTGTGATGCAGCTGTAGTGGAGGAGTGGTAGCATCAATTTATGTACACTCTGCGCCAACGCCTCAGTAATTTGGGTACACATGTCCAGGAGGGCCTGGGATCAAGATGGCCAGAAACAAAAGAAATATGGCATCTGTCAAATACCAGACACCCTGAAAATACGCAGTGTCTCATGTAATTCTAGACTGTTGTGCAATCTACAACATCCAACCAAAACCCACATACTGCCTTTTTAACCTCAGTGCTTCAACCCCATTGAACTCTCAAGGAACCAGATGGGGTCTCAGCCTGTCACAATCCACATGAAACCATGACCTCCGTCTCATGTCACATTTGTTGCAGAAGAGGCAAAATAGTAATAATAATAATAATAATGAGAATTGGGGGGAGTGGAGGGCATGTATCGTCTCACCAGGGCTGAAGCTTGTGGGTTTCCTGTGGGTTATTTCCTGACTTGCTGGGAATAAAGGACTGTATTGTTTCATACCAGTCAACTGTGCTATTGTCTTCTGTTTTCAAATACAGTATATTTAGTCACAGACAACGGTGGCCCGCTGGTTGACTGGTTGGACTCACAGTGCTGAGGTGCAGCGCTTGATTCCGGCTCCGGCCTCTCTGTGTGGAGTTTGCATGTTCTCCCTGTGCCTGCGTGGGTTTTCTCCGGATACTCCGGTTTCCTCCCACATTCCGAAAACACGCATGGCAGGTTAATGGAACACTCTAAATCAGGGGTGCCCAACCGTTTTTGACCAAAGATCGACTTTTGAAGTGCCCAACCTCCCGCGATTGACCTGATCGCGAATGTGCAAGCAAACACACACGCATGCGGGGGCACAACCATGCACACATATGCACGCACGCCACGATGAGCAACAGCTGTAACGTCCCTGAAAATGATTGAAATCTAAACCTACAGACACACAAATCGTCTGGGGTTTTTTTTTTTTTTTGGGGGGGGGTGGTCCCTATTTCCCCCTCCCGGTCCTCGCGATAGGCTTGGGACCAGTCCACGATCGACCGGTTGGGCACCCCTGCTCTAAATTGTCCCTAGGTGTAATTGTAAGCACGGACAGTTGTTTGTCTCTGTGTGCCCTGCAATTGACTGGCAACCGGTTCAGGGTGTCCCCTTAGTGCCCGAAGACAGCTGGGATAGGCTCCAACACGCCCCGCGACCCTTGTGAGCAAATCAGAAATAGGATGGATGGAAATATTATAGTACTCTGTCCAAATATCCTACTGTTGCACTGTTGTACAGTATGATTTGGCCACTCACCATGTTTTGAAAACGATTAGGCATTTATTAGTCACAGTAATTTAATGTTGGGGATGTACGAGGATACTAATTATTGGACTTTTAAACAAATACAGCATCCATCCACTTTCTGATCCGCTTATCCTCACAAGGGTCGCTGGAGCCTATCCCACTTGTCTTCGGGCAGTAGGCGGGGACACCCTGAACTGGTTGCCAGCCAATCACAGGGCACACAAAGACAAACAACCATCCGCGCTCACACTCACACCTAGGGACAATTTAGAGTGTTCAATCAGCCTGCCATGCATGTTTTTGGAATGTGGGAGGAAACCGGAATACCTGGAGGAAACCCACGCAGGCCCGGGGAGAACATGCAAACTCCACACAGGGAGGCCGGAGCTGGGATTGAACCTCCTGTACCTCTGCAACATTCAAAAACACCATTCTGTCATCCACTCATGTACTGTTGTTGTTATGTTACATACAACTAAAAAAATGGACACACACATTTGACTTTTGTACATTTTAAGATAAAAATGACAGATTTGAGGTATGTCTCAAATATAAGCAGCACAAACACTTTGAAATTTGAGTTAAAAGTGGTTAGGAAGTTCATTAGCTTATTTTCGCCCTATTTTCGCAAAAAAACAAAAAAAAAATGGTGTATCTTCATTTTCTTGGCAGGGCCATGTCTAGTTTACCATGTTTGGGAATTTAGCAGAACTCGCTGAGTCTCGCTGGGCCTTCCGGCGGACTGAGGGTGTTTTCTCTGACCCCCCCAGCGCACCCTACAATTTGGTGACAGAGGGTAGACTAGATATTTGACCAGGTAAAACCATGTGAAAGTTGTTCCGCAGGTGCTGTAACACGATTTTGGTGGATTTGATCGAGACACAGGCAGACAGACTGTCATGGTTCTGTTTGTGACCACAGACAGTGCACTCCGCTGATAGGTGTGGCGGATGTCATTGTCATTGTTTGTATGAAATGTGTTTCCAAATGTTATTGTATTTCATTCCTAAAAATGAACAACATGCATCATTCACTCTGAATCATTGTAAAAATCAATTCATTTAATGTATTATTACTATTATTGTCATCTTTAACATTTTTATATACACCCCTCTGCCTGTGGCACGTGTGTGTGTGTGTGTGTGTGTGTGTGTGTGTGTGTGTGTGTGTGTTCTTTCCAGATGTTTCCAGAACACACAATTGGGGGGTGAAGGCAGGCTCCAAGTGTCCACTTTGCAGTAACCAGCTTTACATTGTCCACATGTGGATATCTTAGTGGAGTTCTTTTTAAACATTTTTTTACGCAAAATGTGAATGAGACAAGCCACTCCTGAGTCGCTGGGAATAATGTTGGCTTCATTCAATCCCACAACGGCGCAAATGTCCATTTCTAACTCCGCTCATATGTACAGTTTGACTGCATATTGCACACAACTTGCATTGTGCACGAAAAGCCCCCCCCCCCACCCATATGTGTTTCCTGAAGGAAAAATAAACATTAAATTAAATAATAAAATGAAAGGGAACATTGTATAGATTGGGTAACATTTATGTTGCTGCAAAAGTGATATTACTGTGTGAAAGAAAGTTCAGCTTAGTTAACAGGAAATGACGAGTGGGCTGGTGCTGCTTGTTTGATGTCCTGATGATGGAAGCAGCCGTTTGCCTTCCCTCTCATCTCCTTTGGCCTCGCCTCCTTCTGTAATATGATCAGTGGAGGATAACTGCACGTAGAGGGCATCAGCGACCTGCACTACCTGGGGTGGACCTAGACAAAGAAAAAAAAAAGCACAAAACTGAGTTAAAAAAAACAAAAAAAACAATGGCCGAGTATTTGAAAAAAAAAATCAGAACTAGTTTACCATCTCCATTACTGCACATATCAAGAGTATCCATCATGATGCTCCCCAGCTCCCTGCGGGACAACTTCTACACAGGCAAGAAAACGTTCATTAGGGATAAGTTTCGTGAAATTAAATCAATGTGATTGCAACAAAGTTGTGAATCAATAATCCCTCGATGACAACAAGCGATGCATCGGTCTGAGGGAGGGAGTGGTCGAGGGGGGTTACCTTATTGCGTAGCTGCAGAAGTAACACGAGGGCATCTCTGAACTTTCCCTCCATCAAATAGAGCTTCTCCCTCTCTGTCCCTTCCAGACTTGTCTTGTCGTCCTCTGGATCCGGCCTCTAACAAGGAGGAATATTGAAAAATAAAGTAAAAAAAAAAAAAAAAAAAAAGTTGGAGTCAAGTCAAAAGGGGGTTGCCAATATTTGTGTTTTAGTATAGTTTGTAAACACTCTACATCAGGAGTCCCCAACCGCCGGGCCGCAGACCGGTCATTTGGTGCCTGGCTGCACAGAAAGAATAAATAACTTACATCCCTTCCGTTTTATTCATTTCGGAATCTGAAAGATGTTTTACTTTGAAAAATTACCAGATTCTCTTTTATATCAGTCAGCAGTATGTCACTTGACGCAGTATCAGGAGTCATATTTCAAATACGCCTTTATCTCAACGGGAGATCACACGCACCAAGCCTACTCTGCATAATCAGCAGCGATGGTGAGTCGTATTTTTCATACACTTTTTATTTGTGGAGTATCTTATTTTGAAGGCACGTTAAAACGTTACCATAGCGACCAGAGAATGTTGCGGCCAGATAGGACATTCCTTGTGTCATGATTCGTGTTAATTATTGTGTTTCGAAAATACCACACTTTTCATGCAGGTCGTATCATATTATATTGTTGTATCTATCCGGCCTTTAAATATTGTCTGACATGAAACTGGTCCATGGGCAAAAAAGGTTGGGGACCTCTGCTCTATATCATGGTCCTGTTCTTGTTTGTCTCCAGCAGGTGGCAGACGAGAGCCTTTCCTCCAGTGTGCACACTTGCTGCCCATGATCATTAGCAGCCTTTTTAAGGACTGACAAGCTGCCTGCAGTTGGTCAGATTATTGGCCCTTGTGCTGCTCTTGCTCAACTGTTTGTTTTCTGGACCTCTCACTGTCGTTATAGTAGTTCTTGTTCTCTTAGTTCCACGTTTTATGAAAGTATAGTCTTTGTTTAGTCATCTGGTGTGGTTTTTCTTTTGTCGAGTGAACTGGACTCTTGTCATTTCATTTGGTATTCTCAATTGAACTATTTCCTTGCCTTTTGCAAGCGCTTTTTGTTCATGTCTTGTTTTTCGCTGGTTATTGCTGACCAGCGATTTCTGTTCATACTTTGTCGGTGCGCTTTTTGTAAATAATTTTTGTGAAGGAGTTTTTATTTCGTGTCTATGTGTGTGTGAATTAATCAGTTTTCAGTGTGTCTTCGAACTGTGACACTCTCAAACCAATATACTGTTTACTGTAATGTATCAGCTACGCTCAACCTTCTTTGCGTCGTGGCCCGGATGAGTCATATATTTTGACGCCCGGCATAGACGCAAATCAAAACAAATGATTCGCTATCTAACTCCCCATTGCACGATACGATGACTGTTGTGGTTGCAATCGTGGCTGCTTAAAAAAAACAACAACAAAAAAGCTACATATATTGCGAGCTTTCTGGAATTGTCTTGCATCGTGTGGCAACGTCACTGAAACTGTAACGAGGTCCAAACGTCAAGTGTAAGATGATGGTTGATAGGAATGAAGATGGTTCAGCTGGTGCCTTAACTTGCCTTGACACCTCAATTATTTTTGAAAACAACCATATTGTACCTGGTTGTTTTTAAGTTGTCACCACTAGGTAGCAAACAACGGTTATTAGTGCTGAAGCTGCCAGAACTACTCTGACAGTTTTACAGTTCTTACAGTTACAGTTTACTGTAAGTACACAAACAACAATGATTTTTTTTTTTGTCTTCACAAGAACCGTTGGCAGTTCGTAAAAAGCACATGAGGAGTTGCTAAAATTTGTGTCCTCCGAAAACACGGACATATTAAGGTTGCAAACGCATATGATGGCTTGGACAGTTTTGTTTGACTCCTTCATCAAATGAGAGTGAACTTGAATGCCCTGCACTTGATTATACAGGTGAGTGAGTAAGCCTATTCATTTGGGGAGGACACGCAGAACATCCATCCATCCATCCATCCATCCATTTTCCGATCCACTTTATCCTCACAAGGGTCGCGGGGGTTGCTCGAGCCTATCCTAGCTGTCTTCGGGCAGTAGGCGGGGGACACCCTGAACCGGTTGCCAGCCAATCACAGCACACACAGAGACAAACAACCATCCACACTCACACCTAGGGACAATTTGGAGTGTTCCATTAACGTGCCATACATGTTTTTGGAAAGTGGGAGGACACCGGCGTACCCAGAGAAAACCCACGCAGGCACGGGCAGAACATGCTAACTCCACACAGTAAGGCCGGAGCCGAAATCGAACCCTGCACCTCTGCACTGTGTAGCCGACGTGCTAAGCAGTTGCCCACCAGGCCGCCCACACACAGAACAAACATAGTATAATATTACAATCATTGAGAGAGTTGATTTTTGTGAAATGCACGAAATTAGTTCTCGTTGGTTTGCTGTTTAGTAGTTATGTGTCATCTCTGAATGTAATTTCGAAATAAGAGAGTAACCGCCTTACTTACTGTTTTTCCTTTGATTTTATGTTGATGGCCTATCAGTGTTTTTCATACATGTAGTACTGCAACAACATGTAGTGGGTTCTTCTTCCTTGCCCTGTGCACCACACATCCACAAAGTTAGGGTTTTTTTTTCTTTCCTGGGGAGGTGCATCATCCTTCTAACTGTATCGTAACTGTTATTTACTTTTTTACTATGTCCAAATGATGGATGCAAAAACAATAAGTAAAACCACAAAGCTACTACTTCCCAATACCTCTTCATAGAAACTAGAAGATCCAACTGTGGATTTCTTTTGCTTTCTTTGTAAGCGTTAATTGACATGTTTTATAAAGCTATATAAAGCTATAAGATATTTTGTGACAGAAAAAAAAATTGTTAAGAGTATTTTTCTTTGAATGAACAATGGTGCATTCACCAATGGAAGTAAAACTTTAGAAGAGGACAGTGTGTGTCAAACTTGCACTGACCTGTTTAATAACAGGCTTCGGAAGAGACAAAAATGAGTCAGCGGAGGGCTGAGACTTTGATTCCCTCGAAAATTACGCTATCTTAAAGTGACATTCCCTTCACAATATAAAAGATCTGCATGTGGAAAGCTAGTACTGGTACTGATGATCTCTCTCTCTAGTCACACAATATACAATAATCGGGATTCCAGACCTCACTGAAAGAAGCAAAAGTAATTATTTTGACAGGGGCTTAACTTTTTTAAACACCCTATTCAGAAGATCGTTTTTATCAATAGCCCTGGCCTTCCAAATACACACATTATGAGCTTTGGCAATGTTTGTTTTATGAAGACCCAAAACTCTTTGCTGGTTTCTGTTTCATTATTCCTACAGGTGGCCAAGTTTTCTTTGACGAAGTTGATACTTGCAGGAGCTCAACATTAACAGTTTGTGGAATCGGCCAAGTTACTATCCTACTGTGCAAAATGTTAAAATCATGTTTTCCTTGCTTACATCACCAAGTTTCTGCTCACAGCCTTTGCTGCCTGCAGGGAGATCTTCCTTTGGTCGCTGCCAGCTGCAGCATCCCCTGTTGCCCTTCGAATCACCGCTGAGGTGGCTGTCATGCAGGTCGCCCTTTGAGAGGATCTGATGGACCACGTGACTCGGACACCTTTAAGAACAGGCAGAAAAGGAGTGCGGTGACGTGTTTTCTACAGTTCTATATGCCAAATTGGTGGAAAGACAGCAAAGGCAGACTTTGTGCTTTGGACTGAGATGTTAAAAATGAGCTAACCCTTTGCCCCAGCCGGGGGATGGGCTCATGTGCTTCTTCACCTCAAAAAGGCAGCGCTGTCCTTCATCGCCCAAGTCCTTGTCACCTTCCTCTTCTTCATCAGAGGCGGCTCTTCCCTCCACTGCTCTCTGAAGACACTCGGCATCTGCAAACAATCCAAGTTGTTACTTTTGAGATTTGATGTGCATTAAAGCCCGCATGTACAAAGATGCGCACTGAAAGAAATGAAAAATTGTTAAAAATCGCCAGCAAAAAGCCAACTGTTCGCACAATAACAGGAGGCAAAGGAGCAAATGACTTCCTGTAGCACAGCACGGCATTATGAGCTGATTTTTTTCTTTTTTTTGGGGGGGAACTCACCCGCAGATATTCACAGAAAAACTATACCTTTAACAATAACTAGAATATAGTCATTATTTTTGTGCTATAGGATTTGGTTTTACCATTGTTGATCACATTCTTTTGTGATTGATATTTATATTGCACTTAATTGAACGGTGTACATTTATTTTGTGAATGCAAACACTTTGTTTTTCTTCTTTCTTCTTTCTTTCACAATCTTGCTGCTGAAGACTGTAAATTTCCCCAGTGTGGGACAAATAAAGGATATCTTATTCATTTTGAATCAGTTCCTTACCTGTCTTACAGTTTGACTCTACTCCTCTTGCCGAGGCAGCTTCAGGAAGACAAACGCAGCCGGATCTGAAGGAGGAAGACAACACACTGTATTTCAAATCATATTCGGTACCCATGCTCTGTCACACTCCATGTGCAGTACGTTCATGATCAAAATGATGCGTAACTTAATGTGTAAACAAACTCACAGGGCCCTATTTTGGCCGCTGTGAAGGGGGCACTCGCCTAAACACTTTCACCCGTAGCTGTGCTGCGGCCAGGGGTGTGACTAAAGATGACAATAATAATAATGCGTTCAATGAAATGACTTCTACAATGACTCAGAAGGTTCGATCCAAGATGTTGTCATGTTTGTGAATGAAATACGCTTCTGAATGTTAACTGTTGTGTTTGTAAATGCTTGTAGGTTTTTTTGTGAAGCACATTGGGTTGCCTTATGTCTGAAATGTGCTGTATGAATAAAGCTGCCCTGCTTTGTCTTGCCTTATGATGATATCATCCACATAGGTCCACAAAGCTCAGAATCTGTTCGCCAACCTCACGATCAAATCGACCAGAATGGTGTTACACCACCTTCGCCAGATCTTAGACCTGCTTTCAGTGGGTCTCATGTTTAGTCTAACTTCAGCCACCAAATTGTCATGTGCATTGGGGGGTGTATAAAAGAACACGCCCGCCGTCTGGCGGAAAGCCTAGCATGACGTAGCGCCGAATTTCCAAACATACTAAAGAAAGTTGCACATGCACGAAAATGTGCCCATTTTTCCACCCGAGCACATGTGTGCAGTCTACAAAATTAGAACCCTTCCACTCACAAACGCAAACATACCTGTACTGTTGCAGTTCACTCTCCAGCTGGTTGATCCTCGACTGAAGCTGTGGCACAGATTCAGCTTGTTCCTGAATCATTCGCACCTGCTCAAGGCCCAAGCTCAAAGCCTCCCTGGCCTCCTCCGCTCGTCGCCTGATCAAGGTTACATTTGAATACATCACATTTACACATTTGAAGATATCAGTTGCTGATTTGAATCCCCTGTGATTGAACCCATATCCAACCTAATTTGGATGTTCTCCCTCCTGAGCGCAGATTCCACTCCCTGAAGCTTGCTCACTTCCTGGTATGCCCATCGCAGCTCTTCCTCCAGACGTTCATTAAACTTGATGGCCTCCTCCAGCTGTCCATCACGCGAGGAACGGATCAGCTGCAACTCTCTTAAAAGGGGGTCCCTCATGTCCCATCTTCTCCACAACCTCCTCCCACCATTTCCTCCAGCAACATTTAAGTGTCCTTTAATCCGCCGTGTTGGGACCAGTTTGCCTTGTATGAGGGAAATGGAAGTTGTGGGCGATGAAACACAGATGGGAGCTGACTGCGTGGCGCCCCTCTCTCGTCTCAGAGCCACTTCAAGGGCCAAACAGCGAGCGTCACTACCCTGCAGTGCTGATCGGAGGTCCTCCACCAACTCCCTCAGAGCTGCTAACTCTTCTGAGAATGACAAAAGAAAGGAGGAGAGGTGAACTGATAAAGATATGGCAGTACTAAAAATGATCTTCATATTCTGCTTTTGTTGGCATGTTCAAAATAGAACCATAATACACTGCTCGATCCATTAATGACTCTGCTTCATTAAAACATGACTACAAAATCACAACTTTGATGATACTAAGAAGTATGTTCTTAGGACATGGGGTGAAGTGCTTGCTGTTTTCAAATGAAGTCTGTTGTATATGTTTGACATACATTGACCATGTAATGGTGTTTAAAGTCATAGTCCTCTGACAGAACCCATAACTACAATGAAGACTGCGATGAAAATGAGTTTGACACTTCTATTTGATCACTAGAGGTGTAGCAAACACAATATTTTGTAACTTCAACTTGCACTTTTGGGATTGGTCTTATTTTTGTATGCCACTAATATTGTAGAAAAAACGACAGATAGTAATAATAAGTCAAAAGCAATGGTGGGAAGTAGCAAAGTAAAAATATTTGCTCGCAACACTTAAGTAGGTTTTTCAGGTATTGGTCATTTATGACCGTGTTTTAATTATGTACAATATACTGTATATATTTTTTGACGTTTTGGTTTTACTCCTTACATTTCCCATGCATACTCCCAACACCCGATGTTTTCCCCATGACACAGATTATCACAAACATATTCGAGAATTTAACGTTAG